TGACATTTTGCACTATACAGTACATCATACATGTATACATGTACATGTACATGTATGTGTAAATTGTGTATATTGTTTTTTAAATTGATACATGTACATGTACGTCTACAAATGTAAATGTGTACATGTACAAAATGTACATGTACAATGTACCTTTGCATTTTAATGAAGTCCCCAACTGATGCATCATGACAAGTGAAGAGAGCCACAACAAACTCGTGTTGCTTGATCAATGCATAATCCAATGGAGTCTTATTGTCACTGTCTCTTTGACTAGCATCAGCTCCTTTATTGAGCAAATGGTAACAAACATGAACACGATCCATTGCTGCAGCATAATGTAATGGAGTCCTACCCTGAGGGGGAGAGCAAGAGGGAAAAAAGTACATGTACATGAATGGGGTAATGAATGGAAGAGAGAGAGGGAGAGGACAAAAAAGAAGAAAATACATGTAAAAAGCAAGGCAGCCATTTTGAAGTGGGATGAATCCTACTTAGTAACGCTACCACGTTATTAATAATATGGTACATGTACATGTACACTGTACATGTTTAGTAAGTTACCATTTTGTCTGTGTCATGGACACTCTCAGGTCTGAGGCTCATTATGTATTCTACACCAGCTTGAAAACCTTCATGAGCTGATACATGCATTACAGTACAACCCTGGAGAGAGAGAGAGAGGGAAGAGGTGTGTGAGAAAGAAGAGAAAAAAGAAAAAAATTAAAGTAGAGAAACAGAGAAAAAAAGACAAAATACACGTACATGCACATAATATGTGTATATTAAAACTGTATGTACAGTACATGAAATTTAAAAGTTAATACATACATGTACATGTATAAATGTACGTGTACATGTACATGTATATGTAGTTCACACACTTTAACATCCTTGAAATAAGTCATGTCAGGTTTTAAGATCAACTTCAACATGTTAATATCACTCCTTTTAGCAGCCCTGGGGATACAAACATAAAATACAATAAGTACATCAGATATTGTACCAGTGAGCTGCTGTCCTTCCATCAGTGTCTTTCTCGTGTACGTCAGCTCCCAGTTCTATTAGTCTTTTAGCTATTAATTCATTTTTATTATAACAGGACCACATCAATGGAGTCATGTCAGAACCATCAGTGACATCAACATTATACTGAGACTCCTATAAATAGAGAGAGAGAGAGAGATCAGTTTGGTATTTACAAGTAGGAATTTGGTGACTATCTGCCATATACATGTACAGTAGCAGAAAATTTTTGGCTTTAATTTTCGTAATTTTTACTTTTCGGCCATCTTAAACCATATAAATCAATTTTTTGCAGATTTAATTTTCGTGAATTTTGGAAAAAATCACAAAATCCACAAAAACTTTACACTATACGGTATACCAAAGATTCAAGACTGTCAAATACTACACACCTAAATGTACACATATACATGTACATGTACATGTACATCTATATGTATATGTAGTTTCAAGAGGAAAAAGTCCTATACTCCACCCATTTAGTGAAATCTTTGTACATGTACAATTTATCATTTTATTTACAAGACTGCAAAGCTAAAGCAACATGCAGTTTTATGCTCACTCATGCTTACCATAAAAACAATGACACTACACTACATGTAAATATACAATTGTACATGACGTCCATACCTTCAGCAATAGTTCCAGTGCTTCAACAGAGCGTGATGCAGTGGCCCAGTGTAATGGGAGCCTACCATCATTATCTCTAGCATTAGGATTAGCTCCATTCATTAATAGTAACTGAATGAAAGAGACCGAGCCAACTACTGATGCACTGTGTAATGCTGTGGAACCATCTATAGCCTGAGAATGACAAGTACACATGAATATAGCATTAAAACTGTATTAAAAACACTATACTACACTACTACTGCATTGTACTGTATAGTGTATATTGTACATGTACATGTAAATGTACAGTTGTATGCATCTGGGTTTCCAACAAAGCATGCTAAGTGAGCAGAAAACATGCAACAAGGCTAATGTCATGCATGTACAAGTACATGTACGTAGCAGCTTTAAAAATTCATAAAAAATCTAATTTTTAATTAAATCAGCTCAAACTTGCTACTCAATATAAGAACATGTATACATGTATGCACATGTATCATAAAAAATTATAAAAATGGAAAATTTTCTCTTTTTCAATTTTGGTAAAATTTGGCACATCAAAATTTTTATCGGAATCAGCTCAAACTTGCTACACAACATACGAACATGTACAGTATATGTATCAGAAAGAGCTATAAAAATGGAGAATTCTTTCCTAGTCATTTTTGACAAAATTTGGCCCGAGACCCTGTATTACAGTACAGGGACTTTGGTCTGATTTTTGAGTAACTTTAAAAATTCATAAAAAATCCAATTTTTATTGGAATCAACTCAAAGTTGCTACACAACATAAAAACATGTATATGTATCAGAAAAATTATAAAAATGGAGAATTCTCTCATAGTCAGTTTTGACGAAATTTGGCCCAAAACCCTGTACTACAGTACAGAGACTTTGGTCCAATTTTTTAGTAACTTTAAACATTCATAAAAAATCTAATCTTTATCGGAATCAGCTCAAACTTGCTACACAACATAAAAACATGTATATGTATCAGAAAAAATTATTAAAATGGAGAATTCTCTCGTAGTCATTTTTGATGAAATTTGGCTCGAGATCCTGTACTACAATACAGGAACTTTGGTCTGATTTTTGAGTAACTTTAAAAATTTGCAAAAAATTCAGATTGGGTCGAAATCAGTTCAGACTTTCTACACAACATAAAAAAATGTGTATGTATCAGAAAAAATTATAAAAATGAAGAATTCTTTCCTTTTCAATTCTGGTGAAATTCGGCCTGAGTCCCTGTACTACAGTACAAGGACTAATGAATCAATTTACATGTACAGTACATGTACGTGAGGTGATAGTGTGTATTAGTATACCTGCTGGTCAATACTAGCTCCTTTCCTTATAAGGAGATCAGCACAAGCCAACTGAACACCTCCAGACGGTAACACACTGTGAAATATAACATGAACATGAACAATACGTACATGTACATGTACATGCATTTGTAAAACAATAGAAATGACAAATAAAACAATGAACAGAATATGTACCATTGGTAACAATTGGCATCACATGAACGTAGAATATTTATTACATGTAAAAAACACGTACACCGTACATGTACATGTACAGATACATGTACATGTATTCTTACCAGTGCATTAGTGCAGTGGCTCCTTCCTGATCAATACCATTAACATTATAACCTTTACTTAACAACTGCTGCAACATCCTGTGATTACCATCACTACATAA